CATCTATAGGGAAGACCAGTTGTGGCGAGCACGGTTGGACGGCTGGCGTGCCAGCCTAAGAAGCGAAGAACGCTTCAAAAAGAAATAACATCGTGTTGTGGTGCAGCTGCGATTACAATAGGGCATCTTCGAGAATTCTGTAAACCGCGTTACATTGAAAAGCATCGCTAATTCAATGAGAGCAAGAAGAATCCATTCAATCGAGGGTAAAAAGTAATCCATGGACGTAGAACACTGCAGTCGTCCGACCAGGCTTGCGAATCGGGCTGACATTTTTCTTCCTTCTTCGTCAGTGCCCCCCCCCCCTATACAGCCCACTAACTTCGAAGTATAGTTTCAAGCACATGCGGATCTCTTGCAGAGGCATCGCAATTTTAACTGCTCTAGTATGGGCAGCGCCAATGTACAGCAAAAAAAAAAACCCATTTTGAAATAAGACGCCCCAGCATTGACTGTCACTCTCGTACTTCTTGACCGACATTTTCAAACGACCACAAATTTATATAAAAGCACAAAACCATTTTTTTCACCACATAGAAGCTTCGCCAACAGCGCGGCAGCCTTTTCGACCGAAATATAAAGCGCCGTGGTGCGGAGAAAAGAGCGGGCCACGTCCACCTCTGAAAACATCTGCTCTACATGCGATTGGGACCGCCGAAGAGAAACCCGCCGTGCACCCGCAATATCGGAGGCCAAGATTCCCCCCCCCCCCGAGATGCCCGCCAACGGTGGTAAGTGGTAGATATGAATAGCTTGCCGTGTGAACGTTGGATGAGGTAACTCACAGCGGCTTTGTTATTAGGAATCACTGAAAACTTTTGCGACACGTGTGGAAGCTTAATGAACAAATAATAAAGCATTGGTTTATGACATGGCAATTGGGACCTCACGTCAAGTTTTTTTGGAAATATGCAGTGGCTCCCGACACCTAGTCGTTACCTAGGGGTACCATTGGACTGTTATCAAGACAGTGAAGCGTTTTGGCATGAAAGGGCGGAAGAAGTGCACGTGACAGCCGAAAGAAAGGGTGGCCGTGGCTTATCAATTTCCTCTCGGTCAGCTGTTTGTAACGTGTTTCTGGCTGAAAAAATTATGCACCTTTTACAAGTACTTAGTTGTACGCGTAAAAGCATTCACAAAAACCATAGAATAATCGCCACATTCGTCCGGATCTCTACGTGGGAGCGAACATCTAGAACGAACTTGTTTCGGCGTGTTTAGCAAGGAGGGCTGTCTTTGTTCGATCTGTTTCTTAACCAAGTATGGTCACGTTTCGTGCTAATAAGAGACCAAAGAGACGCTTTTTTTCATTTTATTTATTTCAAACAACGCTATTACACCGCATGCCTGACTTCTTTGTATTTTCAGACAGGGGAGAACGACACACCTTGTCACTGTTCTTGCGCGAACTTGCGTTCTTATGTCCCTTCTTAAGGGCAAGGTTTTCGATGGTTACCTAACCAAAATGAAATGAAAGCGCCTTATGAAAGAATTGACACAGAATGTTTTTCCTGTGCCCCTTCACTGTTCAAGATATAAAAGATCGTATGGACAAGACGTAGTAAAGCAAGTGAAAAACATGTGGACAGAACCACATGTTGAAACTTTCTTTTTCAATCTTAATATGGAAACCTTGCCAGTAAAAACGTGGCTTGAAGAGAGAGGGATGTATGTACCATAGGGAAGCAGCTGTGTCCTGTGTAACACACCTGAGACCATTGAACGTGTATTTATTGATTGTAAGGATGCCAATCTTTGGGACATTTTACAAAAAACTTTAAAAAAAATTGACCTCTTACTCCACATAGAATCCGTTTTTTTGCGTTGTGATAGTTCTGTGCAATATTTGGACGTTATTTTTTTACTTGGTCTATCTTTTATTTGGTGTAGTATGTTATCGCACAGACACTGTGATGTAACAGTTCCTTCTGGTCATGAGTGTTTGGTGGAGGATGTTGTCAAAGTGCGAGAGGTGTATAAAACTACAAACTGTGTTGAAGATGTAATATTTTTGTTTTATGCGTTAACACACATGAAACGCGTGTGATGTGGGGTTGTCGCATGAACTTGACTTGTAGTCAAGAAGGCAATAAAGAAAAGTAAAAAAACTCTCGGTGGCTCAGTGGTTAACGCCTCGGATTCACGGCGCCGCGGTCCCACGTTCAGTTCCGCACACCGGACTCTTTCTTCTGAGAATTTTTTTTTATCTATTGCGTTTTCATATATATAGGTACGTATACATATACGGTGCATGACATCGCCGACGCTCACGCCAACGCCGGCAGCAAAATTCAGCTGAGAATGCCCATATGATTGCTATCGCTATAAAAAAGTGGTTTTTACTCTACACCAATAAAGCTAAAGTATAAACTACACTCCTGCATTGCTTGCATCCATCATAGGCAATAGTAATCCTACTCCACTGGCCGCAGCCGGCCAGGCTCGGCATGCGCGAGGTGCAAGACCCCCGTGGTTGAGGATAAACTTGAACATGTAGGAGAAACTTTGCTTCTTAGGTATTTGCCACGACAGGGCGCGACGGATAGGGCGCCCGCAAAGGAGAAAGTCGCTGCGCCGAAGTAGAAACGGAGTCTGTTTCTCCCTTCTCGCTCCCTCTTTTTATTGTGTAGGCAAATTTGTGTACTACCCATCGTTCCCGTACTGGCTGACGCGCCGTGCGTTGCCGCCCACACTGTAGACACTAACTCCCCAGATTCCTCCAATGTATTTATAGGAAACTCTGCGGTGCAAATAACCTCGCCCTTCTATAACCGTCATTGAAGTAGTATGCATGCTCAGGCCACCTCTAAAACAATATGCTATCTTCCGTTTTAATGCAGCCACAAAAGTGATGAATATTATTTATATTATCTGAATGGAAAGATTTTAATTATTTAAAAGCTAAATTGGCAAAATTGACAAATATTTACACTTCGTAAACGATAATCAGTTCAAACCTGGAGAGAACAATCCACTCATTCCTAGTACTTTCTAAAACTACTTAGGGGCCCTTTGAACGGCACTTCAATTTAGAAATGGTACAGCCGGCAATTGAGTTCATAACCGGGTATCTTTCTTCTCAGGCATTCGTGTTCGGTTTTCCTGCAAAACTTATGTATCAGAACACTGCTAGAGATAAAAGAAAAGAAAAAAACGAAACAAAACTGAGCTTTCACAACAGTCTAAGCATATAAAAAGTTATATGTAGAAACAAGTGTCCACTTCGCTATCTTTCGTCTTTTGAATAACAAATTTTTGCAGGAAGATATCCAATTAACTGTCGTTCAGCGAAAATTTGGAAATATAAAAGTTAAGCCCGGACTCTATGGACTTGATTACTGAAGCTCACGGTCCGGTACATTCCTCGCACTTAATGTTCGAGGCCCTGTGCCCATTGTTTCCTAAGAAAACAGTAGAAAGAACGAACTGTCCGGATGTATTGAGGGCCCTTCACACAGGTGTCTGTATTAGTTCGTATACACGTATAGCAATGATTTGTGCAATAATTCTGTGTTCGAAAGAATAGAAGATTGGAGAGATTGATTGAATGAAAGAAAAAAAGAAAGCAGTATAAGATCGAAATCATTAACACGCAAGCAGCTGAAATGCAATAAATGTTTTGCTGAATAATCCCTGAATGTTGGGTAAAAAGCATGGTGGCGGGATTCACTTAATCGAACATATAGGTCAGCGAATAAACCGGTGAATGAATGAATGATCGAGTGAACGAGGTGCCGTGGGGGCGCGGTTCATATTTTTGCGAACGGGGAGACAACTCGGGAGCATGGTGTGGCTACCGCCGACAGTCGCGCCCCCTGGCAAACGCCGTGCGCTGGCGCCCTCGTAAAGAGTGAGTGCTGCGGGAGAGAAGGACAGGGGTGAACAAAACAGCAGGGAAAGGCCTCTCCCGGACTCGTAGCGAAACACCGTCTCCAGAGCGCGGTTGCAGCCCGCTGTGCGTCCCGCCAAAGGCGCGGTCCGTTCCCGTCGGCTTCATCCGTACGTCTGCGAGAGGGAACCCCACCGTCTTGCAACGTTTGTGCGCTGCGGCACTCGGTTCTGTTCTTCGAGCGTTTGACGTGTTTTCCGTCGGTACATTCAACGTATCACCAAGTGCACGGACTTCGTGAAAAAATATTTTTTTTGCCGCTAGTTTGTAGAGCTAAACTCTTGACTCGTTATACCTGTTGCTTCGAATTTCATAGACTGTTCGGGAAAAGCTCTGCTTCATATTCGCAGTGTTTTTTTAGCTACTCTGTTAAACAGATAAGCGAGAAGTTATTGCGAGCAGTTCCACGCGATTCTCTACAATCCTTCCTCGTGGTACGAGACAAGTTCAGTTTGACCACATAACTCTATTCCTTTTTTTGGGGAGGGGGGGTGTCAGCAAAAACCAGAAGACTCCAATACTTCCAATAGTTTCTTTTTTTTTCTCAAGTACGTTTTTTAATTATTCAACAATTACCACAAGGTGTATTTTTTTATGCATGTGTGTGGACTACTCGTTGCACAAACTTTGCTGTCAATCGTGCGCCGAAGTGTGGCTGAACGCATAGAGGACTTTCCATCAAACTGCCCGTAAGTACAGTAGTTCTGATTCAAAGCGGCAACCTATAACTGACTTCACAAACACGTCACCTGACCTCCCTAACACTTTCCTCAGTGGCATCAGAACAGTGGTTACCGACGACAGAAAGATTGTCGAACTAAAGTATTCAACAGTATTTAGAGACGCTGCTACCAACGTCTTGCTCAGTTACTGGAAACTCTCTTGATAGAGTTGCATGTTGTGTTGCACACGGCATCATTTATCAAGTGACTGTGACGATATCTATCTGTTAAAGTACTGCTGCTGGTAGCACGCCTCAATCTGAAGCTCTTTATGAAGGAGGCTTGTTGAAGCACTCTTTATTGAAGGAAGTTTGAGGGAAGTCCCAAAAAAGGGAAAATATCCTTCAGTTTCAAATTTACGAAGGGCCCTGATGATGGACTTTCCGACGATGCCGCTGCTCCTGGTTTCAGAAGTTCCAACCACTAGCGTCAACGTTTCGGTGGCTATGGGTCACGTAGGCACGGAGCCCACGGTTCCCACAGGGTCCTGGGCGCCGTTTCAGGAAAATGCGACACTGGCCGTGTTGCGGGCGAATCTTACGGCTGACGATTATCCCCCCATGAACGCCCTGGGCTTCGAGCTGCAGGCGTTCCTGATCGCGCTTTACAGCTTGACCGCGCTGTTGGCGCTGGGCGGCAACGTGATGGTGATCGTGGTTCTCCTGCTGGGCCGTCGATCGTCGCGCGAACTCAGACTGTTCCTGGTGAACCTGGCACTGTCGGACATCGCCATGGCCGTGTTTTCCATTCCGTTCACCTACACCGACTTCATGCTGGGTCGCTGGATCTTCGAGCCCTTCTTCTGCCCCGTCGTGCTCTTCATGCAGCACGTCTCGGTCATTGTGTCCGTCTACACGCTCACCGCCATCGGGGTTGACCGGTGAGTACTTCTGTGTAATTATTACGCGCAAGTAATGTATACGCTCACTTTTGCCGGAAGTGAGCTATCTTCCGTCGAGAAGTTCGGACACTTCTCAATCTCCGTTACAGCTGAACGTACACCAGTGCGTTTTACACGTAGAATTCTATCATTGAACTGAATCATCACTGTTCGCCCTTCATGCACTATTGGTGTTGAAATTTGCGTTTTTTCGTTATCGTCTCTGGGCATTGCTTTCACCGTCTTAATTAGCTCTCTGACTTCAATCTTCCAGCTTCCTCTGAGGGATTTCTAACAAGGCATGCGATGTGCATTTTTGGTTAAACTTTCGGAACTTTAGTTTACCGTCCATGTACGATCGTAGGAACAAAAAATGATAGATCACCGGAAAACGGTTACTTCTAGCATGCGGCTGGAACGAGAAATCAATCAACTAAAAATTGCGCCTGGAGAAGTACTGCAAACGATAGTTTTTTTTCGTCTGGCTCAAAGCAGAATTTTTTTACGTTAAATAATTATGAGACTTTTTTGCTTTGTAGGGATGAAAATGTTCATTCCATTAAGCAGCTTTGGTCACTTTAGGATTCCATGCAGCTAATGTCATTGCGTGTTTTTACACAGGTCAACATGCTTATCATTTTCGCTGGACTACTCGAAAATTTCGCACGCAATTTGGTTTAGTAACAATGCCCATTATGACTTAATATTTTTTTACAGCGATTTCCACCGGTGTAACGCCTAATAGTTTTCGCAAATGGGTACTTAGTAAAATTAACACATTTTGTTTCATAAGGCTAGGTATATTACTGTAAGTCCTTGGCATTAGGTACTATTTAGTAATAAAAGAACTTAATGAGGTGTTTGGTGCATGCGCCGTATGACAAGAGATTACTCATCTTGCCAAAAATATTAATGAATAATTCAAGTTTGTCTCAATAGGTTTGGGTAAGCTGATATACAATGGAGCACATGTTAGGTACCTGCACATTCGACAGAAGTTTAAACAATGACAGATTCAGTTATTGCCAGAGCTCAAGATAAATTTTTCATGACATGCGTTTAAATTACTTGTGGCAATAGCATATCAAACTATCTTTCTCCCTTTCTTTACCTAAAGCTATCTTTGGACGTATTTTTTGAAAGGAAAGTGAAAATGCAGTAAAGAATATTCTTACTGGATTTTTGCTACTCTTGGAATTCTGTTGTAGAAAAGCAAGAACATTTACGCGTCTGCAAACACTTCTGTCGTAACTTCGTTAGAGCGAAAAACATTAGAAGAGTGTAATATCATTTATTAGATTGGTTATTGCGGGAGGTATCAAGCAGTACAGCAGTACCTCGACATGCTAATATCCAAATATATTTTTCCACACGGCTCTAAGTTATATTATGAATACTGTACACTATAACTGTGCATGTCAAGCTTGTATATGGGGTTCGCCGCAGCACCCTTTTGGAGCGTTACTTTGTTTTATTTATTTGTGATAATTCCTTCAAAATTAAAATCACCGTCGCTTTTTCTAAAAGCACTATATGGCTGGACGTGACACATTACTTGAAATATCCATTTCTTTTCCTTGTAATCTGAACTGCCCGACAGTAATTAACCAATAAGGCGCACAATAGCACGTTGGGCGAGCTGTGCTTTTTTCCTTGGCGCCGTTAAACACAGCTCAACAAGAGTGATGAAGCAAAATAAACAATCGTTTGTACGAATATATATATATATATATATATATACAGTGGGAGTAATAATTCAATGGGCCAGTTAGTCTTCGTGAAGGTATGAAATATGGCACAACGGGAGCGTTGTCAACAAGGATAAATATATTTATTTCCCAACAGTTTCGGAAGGGGTCCTCCCTTCATCAGGGGATTTTCAGCATTATGCTTAGTCATAAGGACTAAGCATAATGCTGAATTTTGATTGAGCACCCTCCTGTCACACGTTATCGAGCGTATTAGACTGACACTATGTAGCATGACGAAAGTGGGCCAACAGTACGAACAAGTTGGCTTGCGTGCGCGATATTTTTACGAACGCTCTGTAAATTACATCAACACTACGTTCACGGTTTTTATGGCCAAACGACACACTCTCACGTTTTGAGTATTTCTATGCGACGGGAAGATCACTCATCAGGATCGCAGTGAAATTAGGCAAGTCAAGCCTGCCATAACCAATGGAGTTTAATAAGCAGTTGTTGACCCGAAGGCACTCATAAAATATAAAGGAGTCATTGCGTGGTTCTCTGTTCGGATACTGCTTTATTATAGCGTTTTACGGTACCAAGTGTGTGTTGTGGGTGTTCATATCATATTGGGAACAAGTATTACCTGACGCGAAGACTATTCATGGCCTAAATGTTACATTAGTGGGCTTCAACGCCAGACGAAGTTCGTTCATTTGTTTTGAAATCGCTAGTTTTCAAAACGTATTTAGCTTTTTGTGTTTTTATCTTCTTCCATGTGTTCATATCAATATTCTTTATTTTCATGAAACGCGGGAGTACGCTAGAATCGTGAACGGTCAACTCACGTTCGTTTTCACCCACAATGAGCATGGCATGTATACAGGAGTATACAAGATGACAACGACGAAAGCACTGCATCATTGTAGAAAGCCATGGCCAAATAGCAGACAAGGAAAAAAAATCACAAGTACCATGTGTACCTTGAACTGGTGGTGTAGCCATGGGATGGCACAGCAGGCACATCCCCCCTCCCCCAAATATTTATTTCGCCATGGCATACAGAGCGAACAATGACCATATAAAGGAAGTGCCCTCCCCCCCCCCAAAAAAAAAGAAAATGCTGCCTACACCCTTGTGTGAAACTGACATGTGTTGCACTGTGTATGAGTGGTTCTCTCCTTATCTCCATTTTCTGCTCTGCAGTGTTCAAGTACGAGATTATGCCCCCCCCCCCTCTCCATAGCATGCGGGCGTCAGTATGCAGAATCACCAAACTTTCGCAAGTTGTTGACAAAGATGACAGTGAAAGAATGGTGTACAGTACCTTCGTAGTATGGGTTAAAAAGGGAGCCTCAAGTTTGCTTTGTATGGCTTTCTGTCCCGCACGAAAAGGCACTTACTTCACTGTTATGTTAATCCGTTTAAACACAATAGAAGAAGAAAGATTATTTACATTTGCTTTCTCAAAACTGTTCTCGCTACTTTCCCATCATTAGTGCCATGTTAAGCTTATAGACTGCGCGCCATTCACGCCCTTAATTACCGGGCGTGCGGTGATAACGCCATTTAACGCGCGTGACATAGACAATAATGTTGTTTTCTTAAAGAAAGACGCCCTAAAACACCATCCCCACCCACTGTTTTTTTTTCTTTTTAGCATGATAGTGTAAAAGAACTAGTTGCGCAGAAATTCCGGCGTCGGCATCGGCATCGTTAGTCTTGGGTGAAAAGTCATCATCTCGTTTTTTTTTTTTTGAACAATCTAGTAGGATGAAATTACGCAGAATGCAGCCAAATGCGATAGCTTCCCTGATACAAGTCACTTTGAACTTCCTCAATTACATTGTAGTATTCCTCAATGCGAACTTCTCTAGTAACATCGCCCTATAAAAAGTATGCACCTAAGTGGTTGAAGTACGCCCTAGGCATAAGATATTACTATCACGTTCAAGCCCTAAAGGCGAATATTTAGCGTCCACCAATTTGTATGTTAGAAATAATACAAAATGATTAAAACAGAGTGATGATCTGCAATAGGTATGCGAGGAATTCGCCAGCCGTAATGCTTCTTTCCTTTGTCAAGGTACATGCGATGAAATCAAGTGATACACTGGCAGAATTAATGTTTAGATAGTCTGTGTATGTGTCAATTCAATGGTGAAGTTATTGACAAAACCATAACCACGCAAATGAAGAAAACACAGACAGCACGAGATTGTCTAATTCTGAGAACTGATACACACAAGGCATGATAAGAAGAAAAGAAGGTGAAGGGATCAAATGGCTCCTTTGTTAAGCAGAGGCATGCGAAGTACATGAAATCATATGGGCATATATTTATAGTTTTAGTTGAAACTTGTAATAAGGGGATAAAGAGAAGTGAAGATCAACAATAACAACAAAACATACAACTTTCATAATGAAAAAAAATGCATTAGAAGAATGAAACTCTATTTGCTAAAGTATCTCTGCATTTGGGTTAGTTGGTATTTGTTCGTCTTGAATTTGAACGGTGCGCCAAAAAAGCCAAGTCTCAGAAAGCGCAATTGCCACTCAACAAGTGTGTGTGTTTCCCTCTTTCGTTGTCGTGTAGTTTTTTTTTTTGTGCGCCGTATTGATTCAAAAAAACTATCTCATTGATTTCAAGCTGCATTTTGAAGAAACATTACGCCAATTTCCGCAGCCTCCAGATGCAGAAATAACAGTACACGTCGTCCATGCTTCAATCATGAGTCACTTGACACAGGCTATTTCTAACGGCTTTCCAGCTATTTTTATCTCCTATGATTGTTAGCAAATTTAATGCAATACGACTATTCTGAAACAGAGGGTGGTTTTTGACGTATGGGGCTTGTTTCTAAAGACATTTATTATATTGCTTTTCAAACAACATTAAGTCTTAGGGCTGTATGGCTGCTCAATGGACGCCCAGCAAACCCTTTCCACCAAAACGAGCTTGTAATGTTTCAGGGCGCATCTGCGTGCACTGACGAGCCTGCCACTGTGCTAGGTTTGCTACGCTTTTATGCTTTTGTAAACGTGAATGGCAGCTAGCCATATTTGGTGCCCCGTTCATGAACGATTGCCATTTATTTCCAAGTGCGACCACAAAGCGAATTTCGGCCAACGTGTCGCACATGTCTAATTGAACCTCGGCTTCGCCTTTCATTTGCACCACTCTCTACGCCGAGGAGTAAGCAGTGAACTAAGTGTGTTACGCGAACAGCACTTAGCCGAAATGTCAGTAAGAGCCACGCATGGCTCACAGAGCTGCTTCTTTTGCAGGAAATAAATGGAGACGAGGTCCTCG